CCTATATCCTTGTAATATAAAAATATTGCCATTAGTTTTTCTTGGGATATGGTGAATGCCTTGGGTCTGTGTTTTCAAGTACTTTTTCAACTCAGGAAACACTTGTTATATTGAGTCTTTAGTTGGCGTTTCCTGTGGGAATGTGGGTCCCACGTTCAATGTTGTCCCCTCTCCTGTGTGTCTATCATCTTCCATGCTGGGTCCATGCTGTTAACCCTTTCCTGCAGATTCTGGGGGCATTTCTTCAGATGGTTCTCCAAATCATGGATTCAACATTCAACAACGTTCTCTAGACTGTGGATTTGAGTTCTGCTATTGCATCTTTAACTCCTTTGAATCCTTTATTTCTTGATACTCTCTGCCTCCTATTCTGATGCAGACACATCGAACTCTAAATTCCTCAAAGTGCTAGGCAACCCCTCACCTCTCGGGCTTCACACACGTCATTCTTTTCCCCCCTGAACACATTTCCCCCTCGCTTCATCTGGCAACCCCCCACAATTTCAGGTGACTTGCGCTTCAGCACCCTTCTGCACAGGAAGCTCGCCCTCAGCCCGGTATGGTAATGCTGTGCATTACCACCCAGTATGGGAGCTGTGCATCCACCCCGTGCCCTTTCTCACCCTATCACCACACACACCACACTGGCTGTCGTACCAGCCCCTGTCTGGCTACCCCATTCGCCTCCTGAGGGCAAGAACCATGGCGACTCTATCTGTCATTATATTCTCAGCCTGGTCCAATTCTTGACACTTCAAAAGCATATTTGCCTATAACGTCACTCCCTTTCAGTCACATCTAATTGTCTCTTTTACTCTCAAGAATCCTCCTCCTCGTGGCTTTCTGCTCTTATTCCTGGTGCAGGATTGTGCTTTTAGGGACACCGGTTTCACTCCTTGAGATCAGTCTTCCTCTGTTCAGATGCTCGCTCTCTTCCTCCTGTTTGACAGCATATTTTCACAGATTTCACGTTTCTCCTCCCCCTCCCCCTCATCCTCCAAAGAGAGAAATGAACCCAGACCTGGTATCTGCCAGCAAACACAACATCATAGTTTCTCCTGGCCTCACTCTTCATCTGCCTGGCTGCATTTTAAATCTCCTCAAGCTAAAGCACAGGCTGCTATCCACACTCCTGTCCCCTCCCCGGGTCTGCATCTTCTAGACAGGTGAGGGGCTTCCCACTTCAGTCAATACCATTTTAAAACTGGAGGCTCCGACCCTTTCCTTTCAAACAAATCTCAGGATCAAAGACATCTTTGAATAATTTTGGAAAGAATCCTTGAACACACTTTAGAAGCCCTCGTTATGTCCTATATATTATACTTGTTTCTTATCAAAGAAACCTGAATGTTTCAGGACACTCACAGTTGAGACATATACACAATAAAGCGCAATCCCACCAGCACCACAACGTTTTCAAACTGCACATTAGCTGCATGGAGAGGAGGGAGCCGACCCCCTTGCTTCGAGGAGAGCGAATCATCTCTACTTTCCGGACGGTTCCCTGTTGGCCGGCAGGGGGCGCAGTGCACGTGTCTTGTCTCCCGGATTCCAACACAATCTCAGGGCTGGGAAGAGATTCCATCCATTCAGTGCAAGAAAGTTTATTTAAAAACTTGCTTCTGCTTCTTGCTAAGGGAATTCAGGGCAGGAGAATTTATTTTCAGATAAGACCTCAGAGATAACTAACATCACTCGTGACTGATTAACACAGATGCAGAAAAAATCAGTAATGGGGCTATTTAAGGGTTTGTTTGTTGTAAAAAGCAATTAATGCATTTGTTAGGGTTTAAAAGAAGTTAACTTATATTTAACTTATATGTAACTGTCAAGTGCACCTCAGAATATGGTGATATACATTCCTGAAGAGGTATATGAAAATAGGTTTATTTTTTTTTATTTTTTGACTTGGAATACCTCTTTCCAGCCCCTTCTTGCCTGTAAGGTCTCTTTTGAGAAATCCGCTGACAATCTGATGGGGACTCCTTTGTAGGTGACTGTCCCCTTAGCTCTTGCTGCTTCTAGGATTCTCTCCTTCATTTTAATCTTGGCTAATGTAATTACGATGTGCCTTGGTGTGTTCCTTCTTGGGTCCAACTTCTTTGGTACTCTCTGAGCTTCCTGGATTTCCTGGAAGTCTATTTCCTTTGCCAGATTGGGGAAATTCTCCTTTATTATTTGTTCAAATAAGTTTTCCACTGGTGGCTGTTCCTTTCCCCCTTCTGGTACCCCTATAATTCGGATGTTGGAGCGTTTAAAGATGTCCTGGAGGTTCCTAAGACTCTCCTCATTTCTTTGAATTCTTGCTTCTTGACTCTTTTCTGTTTGGCCATTATTTGCTTTCTTCTGGTCCACTCCATTGATTTGAGTCCCAGTTTCCTTTTCATTGCTATTGGTGTCCTGTGCAATTCCATTCATTTCAATTAGTTTCGCCTTCATATATTTGTCTAATTTGTCGGTATAATCAACCAGTTCTGTGAGGATCCTGATCACCAATTTTTTAAACTGTGCGTTTGTGAGTTTTGCTATTTCTTCATCACTTAGATTTATTTCTGGGGCTCTGAGATCCTCCTGCGCCATTCTTGGTCTGTTCGGGCTGTTTAAGTGTGAGAAGTGGCGGCTTGGACTCCCAGGTCGCTGGGTTGTGAGGCTGTATGTGGGGGCGTGGCCAGAGCGGGGAAATGGCGACCCCCTCTGCCGCTTCTCACAGCTAGGTGCGGAGGAGCAGTGCCTTAGGTGGTTTACCTGGGCCGGGCCACTCAGAGTCGCTGGGTTATGACGCTGTATGTGGAGGTGGGGTCAGAGCAGGGAAATGGCGGCGCCCTCCACTGCCGCTTGCCGTGGGGACCTGCTGGCCCGGTCCAACCGCCCACTCCCTCGCCTGTCCACCCTCGCACAAATGCGTGACCTCAGTCAACACACAGCCCCGGGCCCGGCTGTCTCCCCCGAGGTCACTCGCCTGGTTGCTCGCTGGGTCGCTCACCAGGTCTGACCCTGCGCCTGGATTCCGCGGACCCGAGTGTGTCTGGCCGAGTCCTCCCGTGCAATCCCGCTCCGCCAGCCGCTGGTTTCGCCCCTTACCGGTCAGGCTGAAGAATTTGTTGTTAACAGACTTCCGAAAAGTTCATTCTGGTCTGGTGTGTTTTTTTGTTATAATTTTTTTTTCTAATTGGTGGGGGGAAGACGGCACTAAAAATAGGTTTAGAATTAACATATGTTCCAGATCAGATGCCTTTTAAAAGAATACCATGTGAAATGTTTTAAATGAAGATTTGTAAAACAAATTTACACTTATGGTTTTACGGTAAATTTTCATTTTTTTAATCTCTGATTTCTTTACGAAGAAAATAATAATGGAATACTGTTTATTTCTTTTTAAATAAAGACATGCAGACCCAAAGATATTAGCCAACACATTGGAGGGTTTTTTTTTTATTTGAAGGTTAGTAATAAACTATGATGGCTTTTATAAATTCCAATTAGTATTTTCCTCGCCAAAGTCACGGTGATTTTATAGCACTTATTTCTCCAGCACTGGCTTCTCATCTTCTCAACCTACAGGATGATGTCATGTGGATGCCCTACAACGTTCACAATATTGGAATGTTGCCTATTGTGCGGAGGAGGCAAGTTGGAGCCAGAGAGTAAAGACCTCAAAGCTAAAAAGAAAGTTGGGGGCTGCTCATACTGGTGTCATGCAAATTGTGATTCCAGTGGTGCCTGAAGCCCGCTGTCCCCACAACACTGTCATTCCTGAAGTCACATGAACTACCCTGATAAATGTCAAAACATTCTCTTCTTGCCAAACAAGTTCAGATGGGTTTCTACCATTTATAACCGAGAGTTTTCACCAGTACAACTGTTCAATACAATAGCTATACAGCTCTAGAGTCATGCATAATTTTTATAAAATTGTTGTAAATCTTGTATGTACATAACACAATTTTCTAAACACTGCTACTTCTTTTGATATTTATAAATAACTAGGTAATACTGGTGAAGCAGCACCTATTATGTGCTATTTTATTGATAAAATTACAAAAATGTTGTCTTTGTCAATAAAGCAAAGAATCATTTAAATTTTGCTTGAGGTCACACAGCTCACACGTGCAAACCTGTAGTTAACTCCAGTCCCTGACCCCAAATCCAGAGCTCTGAACTCCCAACCCTGGTCTGGCTGACTCCTAGCCTCGGGCTCCAGGCGTCCCTTTACCCCTGTGTACGCTTGGCAAACACTCCGGCTCCTGAAAGGAAATCTTTCTACAATGTAAATAACTACCTTCTAGTTGCTTTACTTGTGCTGCAATTATTTTACTTACTAAACGCTAACAAAGAATCAGTGACACCTTGTGGCAGAAACTCGTAAATTCATGTGCTACTAGGACCACCCATGTTCAGCTGAAAGGCTGCTCCAAAGTCTGTATGCAGTTCACGAAGTAGTGGAGACAAAAGCAAGACTCCTGATAAGAATAATCTATGATTATAAATTCTACTCCTTATAATCAGATCTTTCAGGAAAACCTATACTTCACTTATACGAACGACAATAGGAAAACCAAAGTCTCTGCCCACGCGTTTTGGTACAGACCCACCCCATGATTTACAATTCTTCAGAGCCTAGGGCTTTAAACGATTGAAATATAGGGGCCTAACCGAAAGACAACGAAGCGCCCACTCCAATCCCAATATTTTGTCTGTGATGCTGCCAGTGTCGCTCTGGGGACAGCAACAGGGCAGTAAACAGAAAAGAAAGGAGGGAGGTGCAGGCCAGGCTGCGGAGCGCGGCGGCAGCCCGCCCTGGGTCGGGAGAGGTGACGGTGCTGGGAGACACCAGGGAAGCCCTCGCAGGGCCCCGGCACTCAACAGAGCTGGGAGCCTGGGTGCCACACGTGAGCGATCGATCGTACGTCAGCCGCCTGGGGCAGCGACGCAGCATCAAGGCAGCGGGGAAAACAACCGCGGAGATCCCCTAAGGAGCGGAATCAAGTGCACCTTGGGGAATGGCGCCAGCACCAGCCCCCGAAAGCCACGTTCAAAAGTGTAACTGGGTATTGCCGCTTTGCTCCCCAAAGACACAGTAGGGGCTTCCACGCCCCCTTCCTGGTCAGAAAACTGCAAACGCGCAGGCGCTTCGCGAGGAGAAGCGGGTGGGCGGGGCAAGGGTCGGAAGTGCGCATGCCCCGGGGCCTTTTCTGGTAACCGGCCTCTCCGAACTGTCTGGAGGTCCCGCCCCCAGGCGGAACTCGGTGTTGCTGGGCAACCGGTGGCGGCACCGTGGACCGGCCGTGTGCTCTCTAGAGCGAGCCCTGGGTAGCTCCCACTTCTAAATCCGGCAAATTCCCGTCACGCCGGCTTCCTCTCTTGCTGCCAATCCTCGCGCCCCGGAATCCCTGCCCTTGGCACAAAGGAAACCTCTCCGGCTGCCACGACGACTTAGCGCCTACCAGGGTCGAAGCCGAGTTCCATAGAAAGCTAAGTGCTTCGACCGCAGACGTGGCCTCCATATTGACCGACCGCGCCTCTCGGACCATGAGCACCTACACCTACACCTTCACCAGCCGGCCCCGGGTCCTGCCCTGCCAGCGCCGCCGTTACCGGGACAGCCTGGTGCAGCCGTGAGTGAGCCACCAGCCCCTGTGTGTCTCCATCCTGTCCCCCATCCTGGCCCCTTCGCCCTCGTGAAACCTGCCGAGGTTGCTTTCTCTTCCCTACACGCTGCCGAAATAAAATTTCTTCCCTAAAGAACTCTTGTGGTGTGAAGGAATGAAGGCAGAAGGGGCCCGGGGTGGCCTCCTGTAGTTAACGTTTAGGGATAATGAATTGCTGACTTAACTTCTCTAAGTGTGAGTCAGCTAATGTTTATCGTAGGCCAGCTGTGTCAAGCACCTTACTAGGGTCATTTACATACATTTTATTAATGAGTTTGCAGGGCTGTGAATTTGGTTTTATAACTCCCTTATGCAAATAAGGAAACAGGCACAAAAAGTGTCACGCACAATAATCACATGTGCGTGGTTATTATGCCACGCACGTGTGATTATTGGGAGCCACGCCAGTCTTTGGTTAAGAATCAGGCAATCCACCACCTCTTTGGGGTGCTGGACCCCAAAATGTGTTTTTACATTAATGAGTATTTGCAAATATTCATGCTTAGAAAGGACCATCATCCTTACGGTTCTCTTGAAGTTCTTTCCATAAACCTCAAATTTTGGACTCGGCAGAACTTCCCAAGAATGAAGGCTCCATGGAAGCAGGAACCTTCTGTTTTGTCCAACTAGGACCATGCCTGTGACTTAGGAAGCACTCCGTGCAAATTGCTAAATTAATGTTTGAACGTCAGGAATGTGACTCTGGATGCTTATTTCAAAAACTGACTCCAAATTTATAATTACTTTATTCTGACAGACATTTTTATTAAGAAATGCCTATCACTTTTAAGAAAAAAACAACATTTAAACTTGGAGGGGGATTATTTATAAGGATTCTATTTCAAAAAGCAGTGTTTTCAAAAACACTTTCTGGCGCCCTTAAGTATTTACTTATAAATCATTACCGTTAAATCTGAGCAACAGATGAAATAAGAATCAGTGGTGGTTCATTAGGAACCTTTTTAAAAAAAATATAGAGAGTCAGTTAAGTTGCAGGACCTTGCTTATGTTGAACTAATCCATTGATGCAAGCCATTGGAAGGAGTATGGTATAAGTGTATTTGTTTTTTAGTTTAAAATTATCTTTATTGGTGATTTTCAGTTTACAAAGGCAATATATGCTTGTTGGAACAAATGAAAACTACAAAGTAAAATGCAATGTTAATTATCTTCTGCCCACCTTTATTCCCACTTCCCTATTGTAATCAAATTTAACAATCTTGTATTATTATTCTACAACTCCTTACTTGTACACAGATATATATGAGCATACGTATATTTAGACAGAAGGTTTAGTTCTGAAGTAGAATCAGACCACACATACTAATCTGCAGTTGGCCTTTTCCTCTTTTTTACAAGCTCTAATTTCTTTTTTCCCCTACTGTTATATATACCTACACAGTCATAGTTAATTCTGTAGAAGTACGTGTGTCATTTTGGATTGCCTACGATTCATGCTAGGGTGAGTTCTTAGCACCCCATCACTTTTCCTTGTACACCTGCACTTCCTCTCCTGCCCTCAAGGTAAATTATGTCAGTGGCTTTGTATGAGTGCTTCTGTACTTCTCTCCGCTGTCCCAGTTTAAGTACAAGTGTATGAATATACACATGCACATACACACATACAAGGGCTTTTGCTACTTCATAGCGATGATAACGTATTATACACAATTCTCAGCACCTTCCTTTCCACTTAATTCTTTGTGGAAATTCCTCCAACTATTTTTAATAGCATCATAGCCCCTTGTTAAGAATTTCCTACTCTTGACTGATACTCAGTTTGCTTCAACTTTTTGCCACAAAGAATGAGGTTTAAATAAACAACTTTATGCACTAACCTCTTTATTTTTATAGGCCAGATTCCCAGGGTAGAAATGTTAGATCATGTATATTTTTAATATAAACAAATGGAACAATATGCCCTTTCTCCAGGAATATTTGAACATACCCTTTTCCCCACATCTTCACCAGCAATAGGTGTTATGGATTTTTCTCTTTTTGGCTTTTGATAGTATAAAAACTAAACCAGAATTTTTCCTCATTATTACTTAATTGACACTGAAAGGCTTTAATCAAGTAAGAGCAATGTTTGGATTTTTCCATTCTAACATCACTGGCTACAACGAATAGAACAGATTGAGGGAGAAATTTTGTTCCAGACAGTTAAGAGACTTTTGCAATAGTCTAGTTAAAAGATAGTGGGGGCAGTGAGCACTGGATAGATGTGAGAAAGAGTCGGGGTAGAATTCACAGGACTTGCTGGGTGTAGGGAGTGGGGGAACAGAAAGCATTCTGTTGACTCCCGGGCTTCTAAATTAAGCCAAGTGCTTGGCCAGTGGAACCAATTAATGATATGAGGGACACTAAAGGAGTAACAGCTTGGAATGGGAGAATGTACACTTTAAGGTTGCCTTTGAGACGCCTTGGTAAGATGTTATCAGACGTATCAGTGGGAGAGTTCTGAGCTAAACATAAAGTTGGGAGTTTTAGGAACATGGATCGTGAGCAAAGCCTTGAGAATGGATGAGGGCAATGAAGGGCAAGAGAAGCCTGGGCCCCGAGGAAGTCCTCCAGTACAGGCTGGAGCCATCAGACAGACACAGGCTGAGGACGCACAAGCAGGGCAGTGAGAAAAACACAGTGTATCACAGAGTCTGAGAAAGGAGAGCGCTCCTGCAAGGGAGGGGCCGGCTGGTCTGAACGCTGCCCAAAGGCCCCGTGAGATGAGCATCAGCATGCCTGGGTTTTACGGGATTTGAAGTCAGGCTGCCCAATCACGGCTTCAACATGTGATAAGTGAGCAACCTCCTACCCCTTTTAAAATTGTTTCTGATAGAACATTATTATTGGAATAGATGGACATTTGGTTTTGTCACCATAAGTAGAATATCATTTAAAGAACTTTGAATGCAAATATCAACTGTATTTTTCACTATTGATCATTATGCCCCCAAATTAGAGCTTTATTAATATTTAAAATAATGTAATTGAAAAGATCTCTGAAGTTTAAGAACAATGAGAAATTTAACTTGCTTTATTTCAGTAAGCCTGATACTATTAATGTAACTTTGCAGTCCCTGAATCATACTTTCATCAGTTCTTTAGGGCAACTCCTTTTCGGTTTTTAAGGTTAAGTAGCCTAATGTCTGACAGCCTCAGTCAAGCTGTGCCCCTTACCAGCAGATTCCTTTCTGAGTTTACTTCCTCCTTCGACAAATGAGAATTACAATGTACTAAATTGCATTTATTGCAAGCAATAAATACAATAACATATGGGAAGGATCTGGCACATAATAAGTATTCCATAAGTGGCAGCCATTTCTCTCCTTATATTTTGGTCTGTGCTGAAACAAAAATCTGTTTCCTTAAAGTATTTTCATCTCAATCAAGTCTTTTTCGAAATGAGTTGACTCCACAGAGACCAGCGGTCATGTAGAATTTGCCCTTTGACAGAGCCGAACAGCCCATGCCCTACGCGAACATCATGTACGACAGGAGGGTGATCCGGGGCAACACCTACGCCGCCTACCAGGAGCCGCCCGTGAGTAGAACTTGAATAGAGCTTTTCACTCCATGAGGCGAAGGACCAGTTTGTCTGTCTGTTTCTTTTAATTTCTGATCTGTTGCACACTAAACATTTATAAAAATTTTTAAATGGATTACTAGAAAAATGAATAGTCCTATAACTATTAAATTGAATTTCTAATTTAAAAGTTTCCCCCAAAGAAATCTCTAGGCCCAGATAGTTTCACTGAAGGATTTACCAAACCCGTGAAGAAAGAATTTGCACCAATTCTGCACAATCCCTTCCAGAAAGTGAAAGAGGAGGGAATACCTGCCGACTTACTCTGTGAGGCCAGCATCGCCCTGGTACCCAAGCCAGTGATACCGATAATAAGACTGGAGGCAGGCAGCTGCCTGCGGTGCACATACAAAGTCCTCCACGAAGTGGTAGCAAATAGAGTCCAGCAGTGTTTAAGTAGAGCTACATCCCATGACCGAGCAGTATTTACTCCAGGAATGCAGAGGTGCTCTGGCATGTGTGAATCAATGTGATCCACCGTCTCGACAGGTTGGTCATTGGTGCAGAGCAAGTATTTAACATTTCAGCACTCATTCATGATAAGCACGACAAATTGAGAGTCAAGGGGAATTTCCTCAATTTGATGAAGAGCTTCCATAAAATACATACAGCCAACTCCATAATTGGTGGTGGAAAAGATTAATGCTTTCCTTCTTAGACTGGGAAAAGGCAAGGATGTCTGTCCTCACCACTCTTAGTCAGCGTGGTGCTAAGTTCTAGCCAGTGCTACATCCAGATCAGAAAGAAAGAAGTAAAACCACCCCTAACTGCAGGTGACAGGACCGTCTGCATAGAACAATCCCATTGACTCTCCAGAAAGACCAAACACTGATGATTGGGTTGAACAGCATCACAGGATACAAGATTGGCACACAAAGACCAGTCATATTTCTGTATACCAAAAAGGAACATGTAGAAAACAAAACTTGAAACACTATCATTTACAGCCCCTTTAAAAACCTGGAACACCTAGGTATAAATTGAAACATGCACAGGACCTGTAAGATAAAAACCGCAAAACACTGATGAAGGAAATTTAAAACAACCTGAAGAAATGGGAAGACATATACCATGTGCAGGGATTGAACACCTCACCATCGTAAAGATGTTAATTCTCCCCAAGTTGATCTATCAGTATAACACAGCTTCTGTCAAAATTCCAGCAAGAGTTATGTAGCTTATTTTGCCCTGACCAGATGGCTCAGTTGGTTGAGCGTCGTCCCACAAAGTGAAAGGTCGGGGGTTCAGTTCCTGGTCAGGGCATGTGCCTGGGTCATGGGCCCAGTCCCCAGTTGGGGCACATGCAAGAGTAACCGATCAATGTTTCTTTCATATGTTGGTGTTTCTCTCCTCTTTCTCTCTCCTTCCCCCTCACTCTAAAAATAAATAAATACAATCTTTTTTAAAAAGACAAGCTTACTCTAAAATTTATATGGAAAGACAAAGGAACTAAAATAGTTATACCATTTTGGGAAAAAAATAAAGTGAGAAGAATTACTCTACCCTATGTTAAGACTTACCAAATACAATATTAGTAATTGCATCAAAAAAAGCCATATTGGGGACTTCCGCCAAGATGGAGGCGTAGGTGGAAATACTTTGCGTCCTTGCACAATTAAATCTAAAAATAACAAAGTTTTAACAACAATAAATGCAACCGAACCACAGAAAATCAACAATACGGAGTCCGAAAACAATGAAATGCTCAGCTAAACCGGTGAGAGGGGAGAAGCCAGCAGCAGAGCACGTTGGGCAAAAAAGATCCCCCGACCCGGTGGTGCACAGGCAGCCAAGGGCGCGGATCCCAGGTACGAGGTAGCTAGGGGTGGACCCAGGGAAGAGGCGTGGCTGCCTGTCTGTGGTTGGTCGCACATTTGTGTGCAGATAAACCAGTGAAGAGGTGAGCATTGAGACAGATTGTGCAGGCCCTGGCGGCACAGGGCGGTGGGCTCGCACATTTGCACTCAGATAAATGGGGGGGTGGGGGGGTGAGTGGTGAGGTGGACTGGGCGAGCAGAGAGGACTGCCATTGCTCCCTCTCTGACCCCACCCCCACATACAACGTCACAAACAGCAACCTGGGTGGCCCCGCCCTGGTAAACAACTAAGGTTCCACTCCTCATAAGTAATAGGCACAAACAGATCAAAACATGGCTCAAGAACAACTCAGAGCCCCAGAGCCGATAAATCTAAGCGATGAAGAAATAGCCAAACTTTCAGATGCACAGTTCAAAACACTGGTGATCAGGATGCTCACAGAACTGGTTGCTTTTAGTCACAAATTAGAGGAACAAATGAAGGCTAAACTAATTGAAATGAATGGAAATGCACAGGAAACCAATAGTAATAGAAAGGAAACTGGGATTCAAATCAAGGGAGTGGACCAGAAGAAAGGAAAAAATGACCAAACAGAAAAGGATGAAGAAACAAGAATTCAAAAAAATGAGCAGAGGCTTAGGAACCTCCAGGACATCTTAAAATGCACCAACATCCAAATTATAGGGGCACCAGAAGGGGAAGAGGAACAGTCACGAGTGGAAACCTTATTTGAACAAATAATAAAAGAGAACTTCCCCATTCTGACAAAGGAAATAGACTTCCAGGAAATCCAGGAAGCTCAGAGAGTCCCAAAGAAGTTGGACCCAAGAAGGAACACACCAAGGCACATCATCATTACATTAGCCAAGATTAAAATGAAGGAGAGCATCTTAGAAGCAGCAAGAGATAAGGGGACAGTCACCTACAAAGGAGTCCCCATCAGACTGTCAGTGGATTTCGCAAAGGAGACCTTACAGGCAAGAAGGGGGCTGGAAAGATGTATTCCAAATCATGAAAACCAAAGACCTATAACCAAGATTTCTCTATTTAGCAAAGTTTTCATTTAGAATGGAAGGACAGATAAAGTGCTTCTCAGATAAGATCAAATTCAAGGAGTTCATCATCACCAAGCCCTTATTATATGAAATGTTAAAGGGACTTACCTAAGAAAAAGAAGATAAAAAAGATGAACAGTGAAAGGACAGCAAACTCACAGTTATTAACAACCACACATAAAACAAAAGCAAATTAAGAGGACAGCTAGATCAAGAGTGAACCATAGAAATGAAGATCACATTGTTAATATTTAGAAACAGAAACAATTACCATATTCCAGGGTATTATTTTGCATATGGATATCATTACTGGTTTCCAGAGGTACATTTTTAACACAAAAGCATAAATAAAAATGAAAAACACTCATATAGGTATTGAATTAGTAATACCCATGTATAATGCACGTCCTATTTCCCCCTCAAAAATGTGGGCTAAAAAGCGTGCATCATACACAGCAAAATCTAGTGTATGTACTTTGGAAAAAGCTACCATTGGGAAAAGCAGATGAAGGGTACACAGGGCTCCACTTCTTTTGCAACCTGCGGTGAATTTTTTTGAAATGAAACTTTTAAACAAATATTTTTTTTAATTTTTTTATTGATTATGCTGTTACAGTTGTTCTATTCCCACCCTTCATTCCCCTCCACCCTACCCCCCATCCCCACCATTACCCCCCCTTTAGTTTATGTCCATGTGTCTCAAGTTCTTTAGATTCTATATTTCCCATGCTATTCTTCCCCCCCATCTATTTTCTATCTACTGTCTATGCTACTTATTTTCTGTACCTTCTCCTTCCTTCTCCTCCTCCCACTCCCCTGTTGCTAACCCTCCATGAGATCTTCATTTCTATATTTCCACTCCTGATCTAGCTGTCCTTTTAGTTTGCTTTTGTTTTAGATGTGGTTGTTAATAACTGTGATTTTGCTGTCCTTTCACTGTTCATGTTTCTTTAACTTCTTTTTCTTAGATAAGTCCCTTTAACATTTCATATAATAAGGGCTTGGTGATGATGAACTCCTTGAATTTGATCTTATCTGAGAAGCACCTTATCTGTCCTTCCATTCTAAATGAAAGTTTTGCTGGATAGAGCAATCTTGGTTGTAGGTCTTTGGATTTCATGACTTGGAATACATCTTTCCAGCCCCTTCTTACCTGTAAGTTCTCCTTTGAGAAATCCGCTGACAGTCTGATGGGGACTCCTTTGTAGGTGACTGTCCCCTTAGCTCTTGCTGCTTCTAGGATTCTCTCCTTCATTTTAATTTTGGCTAATGTAATGATGATGTGCCTTGGTGTGTTTCTTCTTGGGTCCAACTTCTTTGGGACTCTCTGAGCTTCCTGGATTTCCTGGAAGTCTATTTCCTTTGCCAGATTGGGGAAATTCTCCTTTATTATTTGTTCAAATAAGTTTTCCACTGGTGGCTGTGCCTTTCCCCCTTCTGGTACCCCTATAATTCGGATGTTGGAGCGTTTAAAGATGTCCTGGAGGTTCCTAAGACTCTCCTCATTTCTTTGAATTCTTGCTTCTTGACTCTTTTCTGTTTGGCCATTATTTGCTTTCTTCTAGTCCACTCCATTGAACTGAGTCCCAGTTTCCTTTTCACTGCTATTGGTTTCCTGTGCAATTCCATTCATTTCAATTAGTTTCGCCTTCATGTATTTTTCTAATTTGTGGCTATGATCAACCAGTTCTGTGAGGATCCTGATCACCAGTGTTTTAAACTGTGCGTCTGAGAGTTTTGCTATTTCTTCATTGCTTAGATTTATAGGCTCTGGGGCTTTGAGATCTTCTTGAGCCATTTTTGGTCTGTTCGCACCCTTTAAGTGTGAGGAGCGGAGTCTTGGACTCCCAGGTCGCTGGGTTGTGAGGCTGTATGTGGGGGCGTGGTCAGAGCGGAGAAATGGCGGGCCCCCCTCTGCTGTTTCTTACAGCTGGGTGAGGAGCAGCGCCTTTGGTGGTTCACCTGGGCCGGGCCACTCAGAGTCGCTGGGTTATGACGCTGTATGTGGAGGTGGGGTCAGAGCGGGGAAATGGCGGCGCCCTCCCTGCCGCTTGCTGCGGAGACGGCTGGGTCCCGGTCCAATCGCCCACTCCCTCGCTTTTCTATCCGCGCACAAATGCGCGACCACAGTCAACACGCAGCCCTGCTCCCCTGCTGTCTCCCCCGCAGTCGCTCGCTTGGTCGCTTGCTCGGTCGCTCACTAGGTCCAACCCTGCGCCTGGATTGCGCGCGCCTGAGTCCGTCTGACCGAGTTTTCCGATGCAACCCGGCTTCACCAGCCGCTGGTTTCGCCCCTTACCGGTCAGGCTGAAGAATTTGTTGTTAACGGACTTCCGAAAAGTTCAATTTTCCATGTTCTGGCTGTGTTTTCTGTTGCTAATATTTAGTTGTCTCTAAACTTGGTTGTGTGAGAAGGCACGGCACATCTACCTATGCCTCCATCTTGGCAGAAGTCTAAACAAATATTTTAACTAGACCCTGTAACAGCTGAATTGGGCATTGTGTTTTGAAAAAGAACGTGTTGCATTTATTTTACCCCAAGTCTCTGAAGAGCTTACGTTTACACAGTCACACTCTGCTTAACAAGGATGTGTTCTGAGCGAAGTGCCATTAGGCGAGTCTGTAGTTGTGTGAACGCCACAGAGCCCACGCACATACATCGGACGGTGCAGCCGGCACACCTGGCTCGGCCAGTGCGGCCTGTTGCTTCTGGGCTAGAAGCCCGTACAGCATGTCGCTCTAGAAAACGACATGAAACTGATGCCATCAAGAGATGCGGTGTGTTTACGAGGCATGAGGGCTGATTGATGCCGGCATACTGCGGCAAAGCCTGTTTTTATAAGTAGAAAGAGTGCACACTACAATACTGATAAAAAGTGAAGTGTGGTCAATACATAAACCAGAACCGTAGTAACCATTTGTTACTCTTGTCATGTATTATGGCAGCACATCATTGTACGTGCTGTGCTTTTACACAGCTGGCAGTGCAGCAGGCTCGTCTGCTCCGGCATCACCACTAACCATGGTAACGCGCCACAGTGTTGCAGTGGCCACAGTGTCACTGGGCAATAAGACTCTTTCAGCAACTTTGTAATCGTGTGGGACCTCCATGGTATATGCAGTCCATCGTCAACCAAAACATTGTTGTAGCACATGTAATTCTGTTCTATTAAGAAAAGGGAAAGAAACCAAGCATGATATTTATAATAGTGTAGAATGTGTACCCCCAAAAGCCTTCAATAAATGATCCCATAACAGTATCAGTAATTAGGAAAATGGAATTGCAGGTGACGGGGAAGGGGCAATGTCATTATTTTGTAAGGAGAACATGGTAACTGCGGGGGAGAACTGCTGTGTGTCAGGCGTCAGGGCTGTCACGCCACCATTTGATCGGTTCCGTACAACCAGAACCCTTGGTAGGTGGTGTCGGTACTCCCACGGTGCAGGGGAGAAAACTGACTCCCTGAAAACTTAAGTCACCAGTCCAAGTGTGGCCAGCCCTGGTGCCTAGCGAGCTGAAACGTGGGCGTGTGTGCCCCAGAACCCATGCTCAGCTCTCCACTGCGTGACGCAACGTGGGGAGTTCATGCAGCTGCGTGACATCAGAGAAACGCTGTGAAACACGTGTGTCACCGCAGGTTCCGATGCACTTAAATGGCAGCAGCCATCATATTACGGATGTGTGATGATAGGTTTTGACAGAAAACTTTAGTGTTACTTACATTGTCATTTCAGGTAAAATTCCTTAGAAGTCTAATTATAGATATTAAAAAGATTTTTTGTGAAAAGCACTTTCATATTTTCCCAGTGCTTTTTTATTCGCTTTGAGATAAGACAGATTTAACTAGAGAATGATTTCAAAATGAGATGCAAATACAAAATCAGGGACCTCGAAGTAGTACGGAACTACTGGGAATAATGATAACTATCTTTTAGTTACTGTTTTGAGGGCTTGGATGGAAGGAAAAGAGTGAGTAATATCATAAGAAATCTGTGTGGTGCCAGGTAGCACTAGACTTATCAGGGGGCCACCGCATGAATTATGTAATTGTCTAACCACCACGATGTACACCTGAGAACTAGTAACAATAACTTTGAATGCCAGCTGTAATTGAAAAACTAAATCAGCTTAATGCTTTTTAATGTCTGAGCTAAATATTAAAATTTATTCTGCCCAAATGAGTGTATCAGTATGCTAGGTTACTAGGCATGAGAGGAAATCACGGTAAAAAAATATATATATACTTGAATAAGGAAAAACAATTTATTGCATAAGATTCTGCACCCATTGATACCACGTAACAGTGGTACTTTGAAGCTACATTTATGCGTGGTCAGACACCTTTCTAATTATCTGACACAGTTCTAGTAAAATTTTCATCACCCACTGATCAGGAAGCCATGAATGACGGGTGCTTTTATGCTGTCCCAGAATCACTTTTGCAATGGTGGCTCTATGTGCCTTGAGAAATATTTTCTAAACTTTAGATGCCTTTTCTGTCACTCTTAGCGTGGGCAGATCAGTGATTTAGATATGCAGAAACATCATCGGACTCAGAGGAGGGCTCTTGCCAAAAAACGAGCCCAAGAACAGCTCAGGCCGTGGACGCCAGAACCCGTGGAAGGCAGGAAGCACGTGGACGTGCAGACAGGTCTGTGGACGTGCCATCGGCATCCGGCTTCTCGGTTTGCTCATTTTCTAAGTCGGTTCTTTTCCCTTTGGCCCTGATGTTCGTTGTGTATCTGTTATGCTACCCAGTACTCTCCCAATCACTTGGTAGAAGTCAATTCGTTAGAAGAATACACAGATTGTGTATTGTTATTATATTGGGTACACATGGCAATGCAAAATGGGTGGTTTTTTAAAGAATTTCATGACCAGATTAATTCTCTCTTAGCTCCTTTTACATATTTATCTTCAAACTGGGATTATTTCTCACTTTGTTTTTATAGCTTAACATGAACCACTGCTGGACTCACAGGAGGGGAGAGAAGTGCAGTTCAGTTTTGACATTTTATTTGCCCCTGGAGAGGACTAACCCCTTTCAGGTCCAAGCCCTCCCCGTCCCTCACCATGGCCTCTTGTTTTGCTCTCCTTCCCCTCACGCTCTCCCCAGGCCCGCAAGGGCTCTCCTAGGCTGGCGCAGGCTTTTCCTACTCGTCACCTGTACGGTCTGGGGCTGGGCTGTGTCAATGACAGAATCTTGATAATCGGAGAACACTCAGTGTTTTTCATGGAGCTCCTTGCAGCTGGCCGAGGGGGTGAGCGAATTCATCAGAGTGTTTTCTGGGTAGTAAGGAAAAGTATGGTAAAAGAAAACCATTCCACAGTTCTCCCCCTCACCAAGTCTAGAATGAGTATGTCTGCGATTAGCCAGTATAGTTGTAATTCTGTAGAGATAAATTTTAATATTGATTTACAGCATCAGAATGTTAAGTGCTACAATAGTAGCCACCTTTTGCTGAGTATTTCCTACATCTCAGAGACTGTGCCAGGTCCTTTACTCATGTATCTCCTTTATTATTAAAAGACTGCATGTGAGAGACAGTTACAATCCCTTTTACAAAGAAACTGAGGCCCAAAGAGGCTGTCGTTTGGTTAGGCCCCGTGTCCAACACCTGACTCCAGATCCCCTGTTCTTTGCCTGAGACCACTCAGCCCTTGCCTCGTACAAATTTTTCCTGAGGTGAAATTGGTTTTCATGTGTATATTTATAATCTACAGGCTAGAGGAAACATCAATTAATGTAGAAACGTGGGGCAGGATTTTTTTATATATCCAGGAATTTTCAAATCTTTATGTGTTTACTATCTTAGGACTCAATTATATAGATGGATTATTAACTTTCCATCCTCTATTATACTTTACATTTTACCTACACATACATGTAAGGTTTTAGTTTCATTTCCAAACGTAGAGCTCAGTGCTTTCTCAACATTCGGTAAATATTCTAGTCTGACCAGCTCTGTGGTCTTCCAAACGTACACAGTGCTCAGTAGAGCACATGAATCAAAATCCCCGCCTCCGAGGGCTTTCTAAGACCTATTCTCTGATCCATTTAGTTCTATTTTGAAGGAGCTAAAATTTTAGATACAGGTATATGCTTGAAAGAGACCAGAATTTCAAACTCAGTGTATATGATATGCTCTTAGAATTATACCTCGAAGAAATTGCTGACCGCGTAATAGAAGTTGATATGGAATGCCAAACAGATGCATTTTTGGACAGACCACCAACACCACTTTTTGTTCCCGCCAAAACCGGCAGAGACGTGGCCACGGAAATACTGGAAGGAGAGGTACGGTACGTTATTTGCACTTCCCTGTGTCTTCATCCTAAATAGGTACAGCCAGGTTTAGGTGAATGCTTAACAGGAGTACAAACCACTGCACAGTCAGAAAGAGTGTAGTCGCTGAGGTTTTTTTTAAAGTTTGGTTCCGTTTATTGTAGTGTCAAGTAGATTTACAACTGTTACACTTATTATAATTATGTAGATAGAAGGCCAAAATTTAACAGGATATTTTTCTCCAATAAAACTAAGTTTTCATTATCTTGAAGGTAAGATGTTAAAGTTACACAAGGTTCCCATGTTCTGATTGCCCCTTTGCTGATCAGAAATAAAAATCATTAAGCCCTGGCTGGTGTAGCTCAGTGGATTGAGTGCAGGCCTGCGAACCAGAGTATTGCGGTTCGATTCCCAGTCAGGGCACATGCCTGGGTTGCAGGCCAGTTCCCAGCAGGGGACCCATGGGAGGCAACCGTACATTGATATTCTCTGCCTATCTCCTTCCCTTCCCCTGTAAAGATAAATAAATAAAATCTTTTTTAAAAATCATTAGCAAAGTTTTTTTTTATTTTTATGTGTCTGCATACTTGCCTAAATAGACTATAAGTAGGTTTGTACCAAATAAAGAAAAATAATATTTCTGGTATAAAAGATTTTACTATCAGTTGCCTATAGATTATAGGTTATCTGCATAACCTTTATGAAGATAACCTATGTTAAGAAGTTCTGAAAATCATTACATTTTCACACTAATGTGGGAGGCATTGATTGGCCAGTTTAGGAGACATGAGAAGAGAAAGCACTGCTTTATGTGTGTGATGTGATGATTTAAATGAGGTTTAAGATCTGAAGGAATTTGAACAAACTGCCACTGAAATTTGGAAAATAAGTCTTCATAAGCCACATAGAAAAGTATATTTGCTTCTAAATCCTAGAGATGAATCACCATAATATCCGTTACTCTTGTTCCTTTGTTTTTCAACTGTTATCAAAAAGCAATCAGTAAGAATTAGGTAAAAAAGGCAGGGAATAAGAAAGACAAGGATGTTTCTCCTGGGTTTCAGAGTTTGATCTTACAATGGCCGAGTATCAGGGTTCATTGTGAGGACCGCTTAGATCTTTGCTGTAACCCTGACTCAGTCATTTTGCCTGTGAGCAGGGCGCCCTCCTGTGGTCCTCACAGGCTGTTCTGAGGGTTGGGAACCCTGGTAAGTGAAGCACAAGCACAGCGTCTGGCACACAGGACACACTCCGTGTAAAGCACCCGGTTGTCACTATCGCTCTGGGTAGTTTTTCATTGAACACTTGGTGTATGATTAAAATTTGATGCATGGATGTGGGCAAAGAGGGGGGAAATAGGGGACATCTGTAATCATGTTTACAATTTAAATTTTTTTTATTGAAATTTGCTTTGTTTTGTGCATTTAAGCTCTTCGACTTTGATCTTGAAGTTAGGCCGATGTTAGAAGTTCTGATAGGAAAGACCATTGAGCAGTCTCTTCTGGAAGTGATGGAAGAGGAGGAGCTGGCCAACCTGCGGGTCAGCCAGAACGTGTATGAAGAGTTACGCAACGTCGAACTTGCTGAAGTGCAGAGACTCGAAGAGCAAGAGAGGCGGCACCGACAGGAAAAAGTAGAGTTTCGTCTTTCCCTCTTAGTCTTTGGCCCTGTAACAGTGTTGCTCAGAATCACATGTGGTATTTCACAGAGCCCAAGATCTTTAGAAACATGTTAGAAGGCACCTGTGGTGTTTGTTCGTGTCTCTCCCACTCTGTATGTCAGAGAACCTTCCCGAGCTGAATTGCATTCTTTAAATTCCAGCATACATAAAGGTACCTAAGTAGAGTTCCCCCAAATTCCAAGTAGAATAATGTAAATTATTTATGTCCCAGATGAAAGGCACTCTTAAATATCAGGAGCCCTAGTGAAAGAAATATATCAACTTGCCATCAGTCAGTGGCAGAAAAGGTGGAAGGGAAGCATGAGTGCACCCGAGACAGGTGGGGGGTGAGAAGCGGAGGATCTGCATAGAGTTCGGGGCCTTTTCTCCCGAAAGCGGCCAGACTTCTCTCTGTGCCTTTCGGCATACACCACAGCCACGTGGGTCCTTACAGGATATTTCTTTAGATTATAGGTGTTTAGAACCTTTAATAAAGAAAGTTTTGGAATCCAGTTTTTTTCATCCTTGCCCAAGGACACGTTGATTGATTTTAAAGAAAGAGGAGAGAGGTAACATTGATGTGAGAGACCAGCATCCGTCGGTTGCCTCTCACATGTGCCCTGGCTGGGGATTGAACTTGGTGCGTGGGACGACGCTCCAACCAACTGAGCCACCTGGCCAGGGCTGGAATCCAGTTTTTAAAATACGCCACCAACCTCCAGTCAGGAAACACCAGGCTCGGCAGCCTTTCCGGGCGTTGCTGGGTCAGGCGGCGTGGCCCCGAACTTTGCGCTGAAAGAATGTATTGCACAGGCCTGGGTGCCCGAGCCAGTTCAGATGACCTCGCAGGCAGTCCCACTTACCCCACAGAAAGGCTGGTTGTTGGGGTATCCCACTCCGCATCTGATCAAATGGACTTTCAGTTTCCCTCCATATTCACAATTAATGAACGATTAATTGCGTAGAGAGCATGTAGCTTATAATAAAAGTTGCGCAAATGCAAAACTTTTTACGAATGTAAAATGAACACCAACAACATTAGCTTTGTTGAAATAATCAGTGAAACCTATCAATGAATACTTATTTTTTTAGTTCATTTGCTATTAGGCAATATGAAAAAATGAAGACTATAAATCATCTAGATTTATATTTGCTTAACCTTTGAAAATGGATGGAGTTAGAAAACATGTTAATACTCCCACTTGCACATTGGCATAGAGAAAGAGACCACTAGCTTTGTGGATATGGTCTCTAAGAAGCAACAACAATAGGAAAAGGTTTTATAATTTTTGGAACTTTGTGACTTCAAAAATTCATGACAAATGAGACAATTCACTGGCCCAAGTTCTTTACTAAAGATGTCTAAGCAACTATATAATTTTCATACTGGCAGTACTTTATGATACTACTGCATAAAAATTTATATAACCTAATCCTTTGATGTTACCCGTGCAATCAAACAAGCATATCTTAAAATTGCTTTATTTGAAAACGGATCAGGAGATGAATTTTACCGTAAGCTCCCTCTCTTTTCTGAGTTCAGTGCCTACTAGCTGTTGAAATTCATCAACAACTCTGGAAAATATGAACCTTTCATAGGCAGACACCTTGCTGTCCATTTTTTGGACGGAACTCTGAGTCCAGCTTCCTCCACGCACTAGCGTCAGGACACGGGGCAGACGGGACCCCGCAGTCGGCGCCCATGACGGGTTTTCTCCGGGCAGGAGCGCCGGAAGCAGCAGCAGTGGGAGGTGGTGCAGAAGCACAAGCAGACAGCGGAGAAGATCGCCGCCCGCGCCTTCGCCCAGCGCTACCTGTCCGACCTGCTGCCCTCGGTCTTCGGCAGCCTCCGGGACGGCGGCTACTTTTTCGATCCCATCGAAAGAGGTTTGTGGGGGGTTTATGAGATTCACTCTTATACCAAGCACCACCTAACGGTTCAAATTTATCTCCTGCTCACTTTTATTTTGCACTGGACTCTTCCTACCTCTGAAGCAAAGTAACAAGCCAGTTATAGTTGTTCTAAGTCAGTGCTGTTGCTAACAAGTGTGTTAGAAAGCCCTTGATTGTAGAATGCGAGTTTGTCTTTACTCAGAAGCAACACTAGATCGTAGAAAAAGTGCGGACTTGAGGTCAAACCTTTGGGTTCGGGACCCAGCTTTGTCATGAAACAGCTTTATGGCCTTCATTTTCTTACTGTGAAATGAGGATTATTTGGAGTTAAGCGTCGTAATATATTTGAAACTTTTGTGGAAAGCATATTTCCGTGTAAGCTGTTACTCACTTTTTCTCAGCTGATTTTCTATTCTCATCAAAAACCTTGGGGGGCAGCAACTGAAGTTGTTTACTTATTGTCAGGTGTTTGCACCTTCCCCGGTGCTGTTCTGGGTGTCGGAGACAGAAAAGCAGACCGGTTTCTGCCCTTCCAGAACCCAAACCCGCGTCCCTCAGAGCTGTCTCTGCAGCCAGATGAAGGGCCAGTGTCCATATTCTCACCACCACCCTCCTTCCCGGCCCGGCGGCACCGAGCCCATAGTGCGGTGCACACAGGTCCTATTTCAGAGGTCTCACGGTGTTTGGGGGCAGGCGTCAGTGACACTCCTTTTCGTTGATTACACAGTTCCGATACGCAGAGGTCAGATTGCACACATGTTATTAGTTCACACTGATATGATGCTTTCTACCTCATGAGTATTTTTCATACATGACAACACATGACCTTCCCAGGAGCCCTGTCGGGGTGGACAGGGGAGATTAAGTCCCATTTTTCAGAGGTAGAAGCTGAAGCTCAGGAAGGGAAATGCCTTGCTCCCGCCCACTGGGGCGGGTCCACGCACAGGCCCAGATGTCCGGCCCTCCCCCCCCTCCCCACTGCTGCCTCACCACCCTCCTGCCCTCCTGCCCACCTGCTGGCAGAGGCCTGAGGCCTTGCTTTCCCTCGTGTATTTGGAAGCTTCTGGACAGATGTATGCCTAGCTTAAAAGTATTTGTATTAGGGAAGACACAACTCTGTCACACTGTTGTCGCCCCACTGAAAGATGAAAAGGGTAAATGCCCACCCCCCAAAAAGCTACTTTTGAACATTAACATGTGTATTGTAGTGGACCATGGTTTTAAAAGGCTTACATAGTAGCAGAGAAGATTCCCATTTCCGTTTGAACAGAAGTACCGCTGTGGAAACCCCTAGTTTCTAGATGGCCTTCTCAGATGGCCGTCTTCTCAGACGCCCCCGACCCGCGTCCTCCGCGTCCCAGGCTGCTGCTGTTAGGCCCCAGGCTCCAGGTGGGGGACATGCTCCAGGCGTCACTGGGTCCCAGACTGGCACTGCGTGGGGAGGCACTGCTGCTCCCAGGCCCCGCCCCGCCGGACCCACCTCTCGTGCAGCTGTACAGGGGGCTCCGACTGCGGCTCTGCTCCGGCCTCCTCGCAGACTTGGAAATACTGTTTCTACTGCACTGGAAGGGGAACGGACCAGAACGTAGAGAGAGGGTGTGGCAAAGTGATGCTGTGTGAGGCTATTTGACACTTTGTGTTAGGAAAACAAGGTTGACATTGTAACATTAGGGGGGAAAGCACAGATTCTTCCTACCTATAGACTCATGAGAACTACTTTGAATGATTAAAAGTAACTTTTTTGTCATAGATGTTGAGCTAGGATTCCTTCCATGGCTAATGAAAGAAGTTGACAAAACTGTGGAACACAGCATTGTGGGAAGGACAGTGCTTGACAGTAAGTTATTTTATTTAAAAGTCATCTCTAAAATTTTTCAGTAGTAAGAATAAATAGAAGATGTTGATTTTACAGTCTTAGTTCTTAATTTTTTTTTATAATTGTGAAGCTTTCTTTTTAAAGATTTTATTTATTTATCTTTAGAGGGGGAGGGAAGGAGAGAGGGAGAGAAATAACAATGTATGGTTGCCTCTCGTGCATCCCCTCCCGGGACCTGGCCTGCCACCCAGGCATGTGCCCTGACTGGGAATCGAACCATGGTTGTTTGGTTTACAGGCCCGCACTCAATCCACTTAGCTTACACCAGCCAGGGCTTAATTTTTCAATATATCAATTATATTAACTAATGTGCAAATTTTTACCCTCAATATTATTTTTGGTTTTTCTAGACTTGGTCAGAATTAATATCTTTTGTCATTACTCTATAAATATCTTGTTAAAACAGGTGTTGAGTATAACTGACATGCGATTCATTAGTGACTCAGAAGGTGAGCTCATGACTTTAAATGAAAGGCTATGATATAGGGAAGGGATGAGGTCTGGTGAATGTTTTATCCTCACCTGTTAGCGTTATTAACTGCTAAAATACAAAAAACCACAGGGACTTGCATACGTGTGCTCTTTCAGTGTTGATCCGCGAAGTCGTCGAGAGGAGACTGACTATGTACGATCGTAAGGGCAACAAGCATCAGTCTCTGAAACCCGAGAGCAGGCCCAGTGGTCCTGCAGCAAGGAGAAACCCACCGATGGGCCATGAGTTCCAGGACCAGAGGCCCCTTCCAAGCCCAGACTTTGTGCGGAGAACAGAGAGAGTGTCGTCCCAGGAAAGGATGCTTAGGGAAGAAGACAACGAACCTGTGGAACTGAGGAACTCCTCCCGAGGGGAAGCCTGGGAGGCGTGAGGCCCGCCCAGAGCCCGTCAGCACTGCAAGCGATCAGGTCAGGCCGAGCTGCTGCGGATGGGGGGGGCGGGGCCTCGGGCTGCACCAATCAGGTTGCGTTGCATCAGCGTGGTTTTTGTCTAATGGGCCAGGCCAGTAGAGAAATAATGTTGAAATAATAAAACCTAATAATAAGTGAAGCTTAAATACTTCATTTATTTAATAGTGAAATATCTTTAAAGTTGCAACTCTCATGAGAATTGTGTTTAATTATAAGCTTCCCATTGTCGCTATATATAACAAATATATTTTTTCTTAATCTTTCTAATTTGTGGGTTAGTGGTTTTTAGTGAACATGTTATTTAACACTAGGCGTTAGTGCTGTCAGCCATTGGGCTTCTCTTCTGTCCAGAAGACTGCGTAGCTCACGCTAGCAAAGAATGCCTCGTTGCTGGGTGACCGAAAGCTGTAGCCTGCCCTCTTTTAAGGACCAAGAAATACACCGTATTGGTATAAAACTAACAGATAGTTACCCCTTCCATCTCTAATGTTCAAAGAAGGCACATGGGCTTCTGTCACTCAGTAATATTCTGTCATCTATTTTTTTTTCCATTTCCGCTACTAAAAAATTTGAGGCAATGCCAGTAAAGTTAAAACCCCTGCTCACCCTGTGCAAGTCCACTCCCATCCTCCAGGACAGCCGCTGTCGTTAATCAGGTGTGTGCCTTTGGGCCTTTTTGAAGATGTTTACATATTTAAACACCTAGAAATATATGGGTTGAATTTTCTTTGCATAAACATAAATGTATTGTTTGTATCGTTCACTTCATAGTCTATACCTTGGACCTTTCGACTTTGATGCATATAAATGTCTTTTTAAATATGGTGAGATGTTACCCACTATGTCTACATTGTAGTACAGGGAATTCACATTTGACTGCTTAATCTGAACTTGTTTAGAGAATTTGCCTGCGCCATTGAGAAGTCAGGTATTTCATCTCTGAAGTCCGGTTACTCTGAAGCGGTCACTGGAGTCTTCGGAGGCTTTGGGTGCGTACGGCCTGCTGCCCTCAGAGTATTTGAAGATACATGAGCTGTAGTGATCGGAAATAACCTGCAGTTATTAACACATTTACCTCAATTTCTTTTTAGGTGCCCAAAATGTACCCTTGTGTCAACAATGGAGAAAGAATGTCTTTCTCCTGTTGGAAAAAGGACTTGTACTGCATGACCGTGTAGCATTATAGGGTTCTCCAACTGTTTTCCGTATGTCCCTCTGTCATTCACACCTCATGACACCCCTTCTCAAGTGCATTTGACAGTGTCTTAATTCGCACCCTCACTCCCTAGTTCCGTCAGCCAGCGAACACTGATGAGAGCCTGCTGGGTGTCGGGCTCCACGCGGGGTGGGGGGGGGGGGTGGTGCTGCAGGCACAGCTCGGCAGTGGAGCCCCATGCGATGGGGTGCCGGCGAAAAACGCAACAGCTTGGGGATTCGGAGTGATTTGCCTTCGCTGCTGAGCCTACTAAGTAACAGGATGAAGGTTGGACCCGAGATCTGCTTGCTTCTAATCTAGTGCGCTTCCCTCTAAACAACCCTGAGCCCTCGTGAGGTGGGTTCAAAGAATAACTCCAAGGAAATTATTGCATTAATAGCATTTTAAATATTGGAATCGTACCTGTTATCCATAGCTGGGCTAGTTCCGTCTTGCTAAACAGTCTTCGTGGTCATTCTAAAATTTATAAGATTAATTTTGGCAAGAACACCAAAGTTTTTTTTTTAATTAGGGTTGTTGCTGATATTATTATTATAGATTTTTTATTACCTACAATTTTAAGAATGTTTCAAAGTGGATTTGAGATTATCTTCTACAATTGTAATCCTTTACAATAATCCTGTCCCTTAAACACTTTGCAGATGCTTGGACAGCCCTTCAGACCTGCACTCTATACCTTCCTAAATTAACCCAACTTCTGAAAGACACAGTGATCTTCGCCCCGCCCCTGCCACGCCCCACCCTGAATGGGCTGAGGCTGACCCTGTCCTGTTGCGTTCTGGAGGGAACCGAGGGCGCCGTCCCTGGGAAACATAGGCTGGTGTTTCTGGTGTGAAAGTAGTGAACGGAAACTTTGCATGTTATCAAAGGTGATGAAATATTTTATGGTAAGACATAAGGCTTAGGTTCCAGGAGTCTAGGCTTTTGGTGACTGTAAGCAGCTCTGCAAATGGGCGATTGAATGCAGAGAAGTGTTCGAATTGCCTTTGGCTTTGCCTACAGTTGCTACTACTCTTCTCATGAGTTCTATTCCTTTCTGTTGTTTCAACAAACACTAAGCTAACAGAAGCTAAATATTAATAAAATAGATGACACATGGCATCTATGCCGCTCTGACTTCTGTTGGCACGGCCTGGGAAGTCCCTCATGTCTGTATGTGTGCATGAGAATCCATGTATCCTCTGGCTCAATAGTCATAGTGGCTCACCCCGATCTATTTAGGATAAAGACACTCTGGAGAGACTGAGCACGGGTTTAATAGCCCCACAGACCAGTGCGCACCTGTTGTTCTTGGCCGTAGCACCAACCTTTCCAAGCTTCTTCGCAGACAGAAACACAGACAAGAATGTTACCAACAGGGTGTCTCTCTCATTAAAAAGTATTAATGGTGTTGAGGCGGTGTCCATAATCCTCACTTTGAATTAGGGCATATTTATCTTTGATTTTTAGTGACATTGACTTACAAATTAAATTTAATAAATTGGTAGTTTAGATAACATTTTTCTGTGTTCAATAAACCATGGAAATAATATAATTTAAAAACATGAGTTTAAAGATGCAGTAATATTATCTTTGCTTATAAATAAAATCAGTCAAAATACTTAAAAGTTTGAAATTTCAAAATAAAGATATCTTAAAGATAACATCTAATCAATCTTAAATCCATTGAAAAATGAAGTTTAAAACCGGAATAAATTTTTATCACTACATGAATGTATAATTTTTATAGATATTGAATATTTTTATTTTTATAATAATTGTGTATATTCTAACATTTTACATTATACTGATTCCCATATTTACCACTAGGTGTCAGTAAAACCCTAAGGTAAACTTAACTTGCTTCCAACTTCTGGCAAAATTTAATGACCATAAAGAGACTTTAGTAAACAGTTCAAACATAAGATTGTATTCCTTGGAGTGTCTAGACTCACACTGAATATCCAGTCTTGCCCTAAACTCACCTGCCAACTCTGTAGGGATCTGAAGGGACCCCAGCCTGTATCTCAGACTGGACCTTGGCTGTTGTAGGCTTCCGTCTTCCATCCACTGGACCCTTCACGGGTGGTCATTTAGTCCGTGCTTAGCGCCTGGAAGGGTGGGCCTTCACTTCACGAGCTGCCCTAGAATAGCGTCTCTTCCTTCTTCAGTTTTGTCCCCGTACCAGGCCAAGGCTGCGGTAAATGCTCAGTCAACTGCATTATTGGACAGTTCCCATTTCTAGACATTTCTTTTATGCTGAGTTGAATTTGTCCCGTTATAATCTATGCTTTTTAGTCATAGTCATGCCAAATGGCATACTAATGATGGAAGGAGACATAATAATTTTATTATCATATCAATGCTATTCCGTACTCCAATGAGTTCGTCCTTTTTAACAAGTTTTTCTTTCTCCCAACAAAATACCACCATTCTGCCCACTTATTCCCCAGGTGGCATGGTTTCAAACTTCCTCATCCTTCGTCCTGGTTACTGTTGCCTTCAAACTCCCATTCAGTCAAGGTCACCTTAAAACACGTTTCCCAGGATGAGGCACTGCAGATGAACTCTGACTCAGCGAGTATTGTCAGGAGTGTTGTCCCCCATGGCCTGCGTCACAGCTCGCGTCTTCTCAGTTCAGATTTCTAGAAGCTTCACTTTCAGAAGATAGGAGAGAGCAGCCAGGGTGTCACAAAGCCCGCACACTTTGTAGCAGGCCATCCAAACCTGTTTTGGCTGTTGGACCATTAACCGCAGAGCATATTAGCATGTTAACAAGGAGAGAGGGCCTGCTATGGGAAGACCCAGGGGCTAACAAAGTGAAAAGGCAGGAAAAACAGGTAATCCAGAAGCGCAGCAGTCTGGGACCAAAACTGAACCTTCCTTAGCAAGTCCCAAAGGCACTACTGCATCACAGCACCTTCGGAAGGGAATGTTCTTTGAGGACGTGCACCGGGAGTGCTGGGGTTCAGACCTCTGGCTATCTCCTCCCGGCGGCAGCAGTGAGAACACAGGCAGAACTGTCCCTGGATCAACATTTTCAAAACTCCAGGAATGAATGAAAGATTTGCAACAACGAAGAGCTCTCATTCAAGAAAAATGGCCAAGTCTTAAAAGAACAGTAAGCTTTGTGGAGCTCATCTTGCCCTGTTTCTACCTCATTCTTCTTGTTAGCCTTGAAAACCAATGAACCCAAAACTGTGGTGACTCAGAAAACCAGCAGCCGAGCAGCCACTGGAGGAAGCCAGCAGGCTCAGAGCTCCCAAAAGCCACATCCCCAGAAAACTGTCACTGTTTGACTTGTCTGGGAGCCCCCTGGAAACATCCATTCATAGGACTTATCTGTATGTGACCTGACTCGGAGCTTGCTCAATGAGGACAGTCCTAACACGGGGACATTTGTGTGTGTGTGTGTGTGTGTGTGTGTGTGTGTGTTTTAAGTGTCAGCAGTTATTTAATATCACAGTGGCCCAAGGCAGAAACACCAGTGGGAACAAATTGGAGGCTGGCCAGAACCTGTAAAGGGAAGTCTGGGGATTGAGGTGTCCACAGGGGAATTGGAAAAGCTTCAGTACATTCCTGGGAATCTGGATGTAAGGGGCTTTGTAGGTGCGTGCCCAGAAAGACCTGAGAGGCATCTCTGCTAAGCCTGCGGTTCTGCTCAGGCAGGAACTGAAGTGTAAGTCAGAGATGTAAACTACTGAAATACTGCGGGCATGTCCCAACTCACGTAGAGCCCATCAGCAAAGGGTGAAAGACCTGCTGGTTCAGGGTATTTAAGGGCATCTCTGCCTAATGTTAGCTGGTGAGGAAGCCGAGCAGAGACTTCAGTGGCAGCCCACAACGACGACTACAGAATTTGGTCAGGAAGACCATGAAACAGAAAAACAGCAAAAACACACGGTCTGTGT